AAAAAAAAAAAAAAAAAAAAAAAAAGCAAAGAAAAGCCCAGGGACAGATGGCATCACTGAAGAATGCTACCAAACATTTAAAGATGAATTAATATCAATTCTCCTTAAAGTCATTCAAAGAATTAAAGGGGGGGCAAGGGGGGAATTCTTCCAACCTCATTCTATGAGGCCAGCATTAGTCAGATGCCAAAACCAGTCAAAGACACAACAAGAAAATCTATAGACCAATACCCCACCCCCACCACTTATCCACAGGGGATATGTTCTATGACCCCCAGTGGATGCCTGAAACTGTGAAGAGTGCCCTTATTTATACAAGTTTTCCCTATACATACGTATGTATGATAAAGTTTAATTTATAATTAGGCATAATAATAAAATAGAACAATTTTAACAACACACTGTAATAAAAGTCATGTGACTGTGGTCTCTCTCAAAATATCTTACTGTACTACTCTATTCACCCTTCTTTTTGTGATGATGTGACACGATAAAATGCCTACATGATTAGATAGAGTGAGGTGAGGGAGGGAGGCATTGTGACATAATGTTAGGCTACTATTTGACCTTCTGATGATATGTCAGAAGGACAGTCATGAGCTCCTGAACTGAGGTTGACCATAGGCAATTGAAACTGAAGAAAGCAAAACCACGGATGAGAGGGGACCACTGCATACACCACAGCCCAGTGGGATTTACTCATGGAATACAAGGATGGTTCAACATATGAAAATCAATGGAATAACATGTTAACACAATGAAGGACAAATACCACATCACTACTTAATTGATGCAAAAAAAAAAGCGCTCGACAAAACTCAACATTCTTTCATGTTAAAAACTCACACCAAATTAGAAATAGAAGAAAACTACCTTAACATAATAAAAGCCATGAATGAAAAGCTCACAGCTGTCACCACATTCAACAGTGAAGACTAAAGGCTTTTCCTCTAAGATCAGGAACAAGGTGAGGAGACACAGTCTCATTACTCCTGTTCAACACACTACTGGAAATCCTAGCCAGCACAATTAGACAAGAAAAACAAATGAAAGGTATCCAAATTGGAAAGAGAGAAGGCAAGTTATCTCTGTTTGCAGACCACATGATCCTACATGTGGAAAACTCTAAAGATTCCACACACACAACATTTGAAAACGAGTAAACAATTCCAGCGAAGTTGCAGGATATAAAAAGAATCAACAAAATCAGTTGCACTCCTATACTAACAATGACTAAATCAAAAAGGAAATTAAGAAAACAATCCCTCTTGCTATCGAATCAGAAAGGATTATATACTCAGGAGTAAATTGAACCAAAGAGGTAAAAGACTTGCACACAGAAAACATTGCTGAAAAAAAAAAAAAAAACGAAAGAAGACATAAATAAGTGGAAACACATCCCACTTTCATGGATTGGAAGACTCAATATTGTTAAAATGTCTATATTACCCAAAACGATCTATAGCTTCAATGCACACCCTGTCAAAATCCCAATGGTATTTTTTGCAGAAACAGAAAAAAAAAATCCTAAAAAGGAATGTCAAGGGACCCCAAATAGCCAAAGAACCTTGAAAAAGAAGAACAAAGTTGGAGGCCTCAAGCTTCCTGATTTCAAAACATACTACAAAGTAACAGTAATCAAGTTGGTGTGGTATCTTTTTTAGCAAAAAGACAAAAATATAGACCAATGGAACAGAATAGAGAGTCCAGAAATAAACCCTTGAGTATTTGGCCAAATGACTGTCAACAAGGGAGCCAAGACCACACGATGGGAAAAGGACAGTGTCTTTCAACAAATGGCAAAAGGAAAACTGAACATCCACATGCAAAAGAATGGAGCTCTACCTTTACCTTGGACTATACACAAAAATTAACTCAAAAGGGATTAAAGACCTAAACACATGACCTAAAACCATAAAATTCTCACAAGAAAACACAGGACAAAAGCTTCGGGGTCCTGTACTTGCCAATGACTTCTTGGATGTGACACCAACAGCAAAAACAGACACTTGGGACTACATCAAACTTAAAAACTTTGGTGCATCAAGGAAACAATCCATAGAGTGAAAGGCAACTATATAATGGGAAAAAATATTTGCAAATCATAGATCTGATAAGGGGTTAATATCCAGAATACAAAAGGAAATTCTACAGTTCAAGAACAATAACTAAAAAGTGAGTAACTTGATTAAAAAATGGACAAAGGACTTGAATAGGTATTTCTCCAAAGGTGATACACAAATGGCCAACAAGCATATAAAAAGATGCTCAATGTTGGGGCGCCTGGCTGGTTCAGTTGGTAGAGCATGTGAGGCTTGATCTTGGGGTTTGTGAGCTCAAGTCCCATACTGGGCATAGAGATTACTTAACAAAAGATGCTCAAGGGGTGCCTGGATGTTTCAGTTGGTTAAAGCATCCAACTTCGGCTCGGGTCACGATCTCATGGTTAGTGAGTTCGAGCCCTGCGTCAGGCTCTGTGCTGACAGCTCGGAGCCTGCAGCCTGCTTCAGATTCTGTGTCTCCCTCTCTCTCTGCCCCTCCCCTGTTCATGCTCTCTCTCTCTTTCTCTCTCTCAAAAATAAACATTAAAAAAAATTTTTTAAAAAGATGCTCAATATCACTTATCATATGAGAAATGCAAATGAAACCCACAATGAGATATTGCCTCAAATCCATTAGGATGACCACCAGCAAAAGAACAGAAAATAAGTTTTGGGCAAGGATGAGAAGAAATGAGAACCTTTGCTTGCTGTTGGTGGAAATGTAAAATGGTGTAGCCATTAGGGAAACCAGTATGGCACTCCCTCAAAAAATTAAAAATAGAATTACCTTATGACTCAGCAATGCCACTTCTGGGTATGTATCCAAAAGAATGAAAAGCAGGATTTTGAAGAGCTATTTGCACACCCATATTCATTGTAGCATCATTTACAATAACCAAGAGGTGGAAACAACCCAAGCGTCCATCGACAGTTGAATGGATAAAGAAACGGTGACGTGTGTGTGTGTGTGTGTGTGTGTGTGTGTGTGTATTATGCAGACCTAAAAAAAGAAGGAAATCCTGTGATATGCTACAATACGGATGAAGCTCGAGGATATCATGCTAAGTGAAATAAGCCAGTCACAAAGGGACACACAAATACTGTATGTCTCCACTCAGAGGAAGCATCCAAAGGAGTCAAAGTCATAGAAACAGAATGCAGAGAGTTGACTGTGAAGGGCTGGGGAAAGGAATTACTGTTTAACGGGTAGAGATTCTGTTTTGCAAAATGAGGTTCTTTAAACTGATGATTACCAGAAGGGAGCTGGGTGGGGGATGAGGGGAGTCGGTGATGGGGATGAAGGAGGGCATCTATCATGATGAGCACCGGGGGACGTAGGGAAGTGCTGAATCGCTGTATCGTACACCTGAAACTAATATAACACTGTGTATTAACGATCCTGGAATTAAAATGGAAAGAGAAAGAAAGAAAGAAAAGAAAGAAAGAAAGAAAGAAAGAAAGAAAGAAAGAAAGAAAGAAAGGAAAAGAAAGAAAGAAAGAAAACAAACACAAAAACAGACAAAAAAGTTCTGGAGATCTGTTGCACAACAATGTGCAACAGTACTTAAGACTACTGAATTATATGCTTAAAAACGATTAAGGCGATAAATTTAACGTCATGTGCTTTATAACACATGGCAATCTGAACTTTGAAATAAAAAGCCTTGACAATCTTCAGCATCTAGATGAAAAAAAAAGTCCGTATCTACTACTGTCAATTAGACTCTAGAAGGGCATTTCACGTGGATTAGAAATAAATGATTCAAGTAAGTATTAAACAGAAACGAGGGCGCCGGGGTGGCTCATTTGGTTAAATATCCGACTCTTGATCTCAGCTCAGGTCATGACCTCCCCATTCGTGGGATTGAGCCCCGTGTCGGGCTCTGCACTGACAGCACGGAGCCTGCTTGGGATTCTCTCTCTCATGAGAGGCACATGCCCCTCCCCCATGCGCATGCTCGTGCTCTCTCTCTCTCTCTCTCAAAATAAATAAATATACTTTAAGAAACAACAGATACAAAATGAGGCTAAGAATTTCATTTTTTAAGTTTTAAAAAGCCCCACAAAACCAATTTTCTTAAAATTCGCAAACAACAAGTACATGAAACTCTATTTGATCAAAACACAATGAAAATACACTTGGTGAGGGAGAGTGTAAACCTACATATTTAAAACAGAAGATGAGATCGCTAGGTTTTCATTCCGAGTCCCAACCCAGCATCCAAGCTAACGCCTAGAAGCCCAATGGTGGCCCCAGCACGCCCTAGAGCTTGCTCCGCTCTGTGTCCGGGCACCTACTGGCCAGTTAGTATCGTAAAAAGTTCTATGGCTTCCACGGTGTACTCATAACAAGCCAGGGTCTTCTAGGCTACATTACCATCAGGCATTGAATTTCCTAGAGCCTAAAAATTTAGAAAAGTAGCCTGGCATATAAGAGATAAACTTTCAATATGACAATTATGAAATTATAGAAAAGTTAAGAGCAAACTATGCTCTGAGGGACAACATCAGTATCTAGAACATCACCGTTTGGCACAATTTAAAAGGATGAGCTTATCCAAATTTTACAGGTAAATAATTGAGGTTGGTCTGGAGACCTGAGTTTTGCTCTGTGCCAGAGAGGAACTCGGGAAGAGCATATTCATTTTCACACAGGTTACACTCCCATTTGTGTTTTTACAAGAGAACTTTAAAATACAAAATGGCACACTGTGCTGTTAGCCAATGGGATTTCAGAGACAGTAAGATTAAGTAAAAAAAAAAAAAAAAAAAAAAAAAAAAAAAAAAAAAAGGCAGAAAAACTTACATAGGTCCTGATATGTCAACACACCAAATCTTATACTTTTATGAATTTTAATTCAGACAAGAAATTAACAAGGGTCGTATGAAAAGGCGATACTGATTTTAAGTCTGAGATGGAACTCCTTTCAGAGTTCGCTTAAGGCACGCTCCACCTACCTTTTGGCTGCCGCTGCCACAGCAGTTTCTTTCCTGGCCCCGGAGGGGGACGGCAGAGAGCCACTAGGTTTCTTTGGTAACACGGTGCCATTGTTGATGGTGGTTCTTAAGGGCAAGGTCTGCACCAGTGGTCTTGCTGTGAGATGAGCAGAAAACGTAATCAGAACTTTCCCCTTTGTCAGCGTAACTTTTTACAGAACTTAAGACAGGGAGGAAGGAAGAGGGTATCAGTTTTAAAATGCTGGCAGGATTGACAAAGGCACCAAGAGAACTCAGCAGAGATTTTCAACAAAGGATGTTGGGACAAGGAACCTAGACACCAGCCTCGCCCCTTACACAGCAACTAACTCAAAGTGGACCCAAGACCAGAATGTAAAACGCAAAGCTATAAAACTTCTAGATGCAAACACAGGAGAAAAATCCGTGTGACCTTGGGTTTGGTGGCTTTTTAGATGCACCACCAAAAGCACGATCCATGAAAGAGAAAAACAGATTGCTTGGACTTCATTAAAATTATAAAAACGCTTGCTCTGTGAAATGCATTGTTATAAGGATGAAAAGATAAGTCACAGACTGGGAGAAAGTATCTACAAATCACATATCTGATAAAGGACTTGTATCTGGACTATAAAGAAAGAATGCTTAAAACAGTCAGAACACAAGCAGCCCAATTAAAAAAATGGGCAAAAGATCTGAACAGACACTTCACCCAAGACGATCTACAGATGGCAAATAAACATATGAAAAGATGCTCCACATCTTTTGTCATTAGGGAAATGCAAATTAAAACCATAATGAGATATCTCTATACACCTATTAGGGTGGCTAAAATCCAAAAAAACAAACAAAGTAGCACTTGCTGGCCAGGATGCAGAGCCACGGGGTTCTCATTCACGGCTGGTGGGAATGCAAAATGGTACAGACACCCGGGAAGACAGTTTGGCAGTTGCTAAATATAGTCTTGTGGTAGGATCCAGGCATTGTGTGACATTAGGTATTTATTTACTCAACTGATTTGAAAACTTATGTCTGTATAAAGCCTGCATTTAATATTTATAGCAGTTTTTTTTTTCATAATATTGTCAGGAACTGGAAGCAACCAAGATGCCCTTCAATGGGTGAGTGGAAAAACAAACTGTGGTCCATCCAGACCGCAGAATATGATTCAGCAAAAAAAAAAAAAAAAAAAAAAAAAAAAAAAAAGTGAGGAAGAAATCCACGCCAAGGACAGGGCTGAGGCTTATTAAATCCATGCCACCAAGTGAAAGCAGCCAGGCTCGAAAGGCTGTGTTCTGTATGATTCCATTTATATGACAGTCTATAAAAAGCAAAACACTGGGGCGCCTGGGTGGCTCAGGCGGTTAGGCATCCAACTTTGGCTTGGGCCATGATCTCATAGTTCGTGGGTTCAAGCCCCGCATCGGGCTCTGTGCTGACAGCTCAGAGCCTGGAGTCTGCTTCGGATTCTGTGTTTCCCTCTCTCTCTGCCCCTCCCCTACTTGCGTTCTTATCTCTCTCTCAAAAATAAATAAAATTAAAAAAAATTTTTTTATAAAAGGCAAAATTACAGAAACAAAAAACCAGATCAGTGGTTGCCAGAGGTTGGCTGGGTGGGGGGCGGAGGGCCGAACAGGTAAGACCTAGGAGAAATTTAGGGTGGTAAAATGATTATGTGATGCTGCACGGTGGCTATGTGACATCAGGCATCTGTCAAAACTTACAGGCTCTTATGGCACAAAGAATGAACTTGAACGTTTGCAGAGAAAAATCAGTTAGGAGATGGGCGGGGGGGGGGGGAACCCATGACAGATAAAAGAATCAAACTACGTTACCAGTATGTACTACGATGTCATGGAAGGGGGTGGGGCAGGAGAGGTGCTGTGGAAATGGGGAGAGACTGTCTGCCTACCCAGGAGCACTGGGTAAGCACTGTGCTCCAGTCAGTAACATTGTTTCCCACAGGGCATGGTCTATACCTCTGAAACCACAATCATGAACACGAGAACAATTAAGAGGGGTGAAGGATGGTGGGAGCAAGGCTTCATTGTTGCAGAGCAAGGCTACAGACAAGCCAGGGGGAGGCTGCAATGAGCCAGGTTTAGCCTGATACAGCCACAGATACACAATTATACATGCGTATGTAAACACATATTGGTATAAACACAGACATGCCTTAGCTCTGCCCACTACGACTGCCGAAAGCAGTATCACCCGGCGCCCAAACCTTGGTTTCTAACACGATTCCACAATAGCAGGGGAGCCTGGACTCCTCGGGGAAATGCCCAAATTTGGGGCTGGGGCAGGGCACCCACGACACGGGCCCGGAGCATCCTGTACTACCAGAGAGAAAGGAAGTGCTCAAAAGCAGTAATAAAACCCCAACCCCTATACTGATGGGGTCAAGTCAGAGGCACTCAGGAGCCAACTGAAAGAGCTCCCCGTAGCCAAAGCTGGGAAACCCGCAGGAACAAACCACATAAGGCAGTACTGGATCACAGCCTGAGGTATACAAGTATCCATGAGTCCATACCGATACAAGTTGATAACGGAGGAAATGATTAAATGGGGGGAGAAAAGATACGTCTCCCGTGCATAATTCCAGATAATTTACGTAGACACTCAAGGAGGTGGAGTGCAATTCTCTATTCCTGAAGTGTGGGCGGCATAGTGACTGCCTTCTGCACTGTCCAGCGTGGGGACGGGGGGAGTCACTGCACTGTGGACAAACCTGGCAAACTCTGTCCAGGCCAATGTCACAGTGATGAGTCCTACCGATAGCACGTGACCTTGACAGGATGTGAAGGACGTGCATTTTACCTCTACGGTCTTCCTCCCCAAAACCCATGACCTACCCAAACCCAAGGTGAAGGACAATGAGCCATCTGACTAGGGCTCCTCAAAACTGTCAGGGTCATCAGAGACAAGGAAAAAGTATGAGAAACTGTCAGTCTAGAGGAGCCTAAGGAGACAAATGTGATCCTGGATCGATCCTGGAACAACAGCAAAAAAGGGTATTAGGGATAAACTAAGGAAATCTAAATACAGTGTGCCTTTAATTAATAAAAATGTATCACCGTGGTGGCATACTAAATGTAGAACGTTAATCGTAGGGGAACCTGGGTGCGGGGTGTATGGGAACTGTCTGTATTATCCCTGTAACTCTTCTGTAAATCTAACACTACTCTGAAATTAAAAAAACAAAATTATTTGAAATGCTAGCAGAATTTGTTTTGTCCATCACAGAATTAAATCTGCCTCAATTTATGTTCTTGAAAACAATAACAAAACTGCCTAGAATGCCAAGTGTTTAATGAACCGGAACTTTTCGGCCCCTAAAGCAGAAGGCTAGGCTTCCTTCTTTCTTTTTAATTTTTTTTTATTTAAAAATTTTTTTTAATGTTTATTTATTTTTGAGAGAGAGACAGAGCTCGAGAGGGGAAGGGCCAGAGAGAGAGGGAGACACAGAATCTGAAGCAGGCTCCAGGCTCCGAGCTGTCAGCGCAGAGCCCGACATGGGGCTCGAACCCACGAACTGGGAGATCATGACTTGAGCCGAAGCCTGACGCTTCACTAACAAAGCCACCCAGGCGTCCCGGCTTCCTTCTTTTGTTAAATGTGACCGAAAATGGCAAAAGCCACAGGCGGCTCCCTAGCCAGAGCATGAAGCCCTTCGCCACCCTCTATGCTCTTTCCTCATCTCCCGAGCACCTGCTCACTCAAGGGCCTGGGGCGCACGGGGAGCTAGCATTCCCCAGTGGAAGCAGCACGGCTCCCAAACCACGATTCCCCATCTTCTCTCGCACACAGCGTGCTGGTCCCCAGGACCCTCCTCCCCAGCAGGAAGACAGGCACCATCACGGCCGCTCTTCCTCCTCTCTCTGCTTTGTCCACCATCTTGGCCCCATTCTGGGTTGTTATTTTTTTTTAAGTACATGTACTGTGTTAAACAGAGTCCCCCACATTCATGTTCACCCAGAACCTCAGGATATGACCTTACTTGGAAATAGGGTCTTTGGAGATGTAATTAGTTAAGATGAAGTCATACAGGATTAGGGTGGGCCCTGAACCCAATGATAGTGCCCTTGTGAGGAGCAGAGAAGAGACACAGAGGCCCCCTGGGGAGGAGGCCACATGCCTGTGGACGCAGAGCTTGGAGCGAAGCGTCCAGAGGCCAGGGAATGCCAAGGATGGCCAGCAGCCACGGAAGTCGGGAGAGGGGCCTGGGACAGCCTCCCTTAGAGCCTCTGGAAGGAACCAAGCCTGCCCGCCCCTCAACTTCAGTCCAGCGGCACTGATCTCGGACTGCCGGCCTCCAGGACTGGGAGAGAATACGTCCATTGTTATAAGCCTCCCAGTTTGTGGTCACCTGTCATGGCAGCCCTAGAGATGAGAACGACGCATATGTGAGCCTGTCTGTCCCTTCCGTTCCTGCCTGTCCAGCCTGTCCCCGCAGCACGACTCCTAGCCCCAAGGGTGGGTCTCCGGGGCGCTCCGTCAGCCGGGTCCAGGCTCGCCTCCCCGTGACCCTCACCTTGATGTCCCTCGCCACCACCTCCAACGGCCCCCAGGAGCCACCGCACCATGTTGCACGTAACCAGGACTGACACGGGACCTGCACATCTGGGGGCTCCTACTTCACAACCAGCCTGCGGAGGGGAGAGGACACCATCCCGACTCCTGGGTTAGTGCACCTCCCCGCCACCCGGCCAGTCAGGATCTGGGCTTTTGTAACCTCAGCTATCTGCTCTCATTCTATCCGTACGACTGTATTTTTCCCACCGTGTCCCCAGGTGCTTCCGTGTGCCCCCCACAAACCAACAAGCCAAACATTCCACCTCCTCAGCTCTGCTCTTGCTGGGCTAGCGAACGTGGGTATGTGCACTCACCTGGAGGGCATGCTACGATACACAATGCGGGGCTCCGGCCCATAGTGTTTCCGATCCTGGGTCTGGGGTGCAGCCTGAGAATCTGCCTTTCTAGCAAGCTCTCAGGGCATGCCTCCGTTGCTCTGGGGACCCCACTTTGAGACCCACGGGCTATGCTGCTGTCCTCTCCTGGGCATTTCTGCCCTCCCGGATGGCCTCTCCCAGCTCCTACACCAGTCTGGGCCTCCCAGTTGAGCACTGGCTTACACGC